GACTTTGCCCGCGTGAGATTAAAAAAACATTAACAAACATAGCATATGTTACTTACCGATAACGTAGCTTTTTAATGGTGCAAGACTTTTAGATATCTGTCTCGTAGTTTTTGAGTTATTTCAATACATACAAAAATACAAATCTTTCCTCTTTATAATATTAGTATAGATGTAACTAGCTAGTTATTGGCTATTATATCGTCTCAAAAATGAAAAGACGTCTTAGTCTAATCAAGCAGAAATTCATATACGTTCAGTTGTTTTAGAGTAACGTATTAAAAATATCTACACCTTTTCACATTTATCTTAGTAATATGAATTGACTTTTCACATCCCAATAGTATTCAATCCTCATGTCTAAAGGCTTTGTGCTATCTAATGATATAAGAAACCGTCCGTTCCATATTTCACCAACGAACCGTCTTACTATTGTACGATTTGTATTTTTTTTTATCTTAACGACTGCGGACTGCAACAAAGTTATCTTTACCATTGAAAGTTGTTACTTTAGTCTTTGTTAACAAAGGTTCTTTTGGAGTTGAAATTTGCCGGACGGCATTTTTATTTTTGTAAATACCCAGAGCGTGACTTCGCCGTTTCATTAAGTCAATGGCCTACCTCTGATAATGCTCCACTTTAAGTTAAATGTCTTAACTTAAGAAGCCTCAAAGATTACATGCGAATTTTTGAGAAGTGATGTAAGAGAAATTTTTGCAATTAATTCGTTATTTTTACATGATTATCATAACTCGAAAGATTTTTTAATTTAAACTACCATTTAACAACTTAAAAGAAGAATGTAATTAAATAAATTTACAAAGAACGTTAATTAAAAAATAAAGAAAACAAAACACAGTTCTTGGCTTAAAGAAAGAAACTCTGCTGATGCTGTCTCTTGCTCCTCACTGCAGGATGCATTAGGTTTTTTTGCCTTCCTTTACTAACATCCTGGCTCTCCTCTGTAACAATTTTAATTCATACATCGTTTATAACGTCAAATATAAATATTGAAGCAAGATCCGTCCAACCTCATCGGATGACCGAGAAAGAATAAATAGTTTTTTGTGTAGATTCAACGGGTATTTTAATAGGTGCATAAGAATTTTGACAAGAAAATAATATAAAAACCATCACAGCTTGCAGTAAATAATATCACGGTAGATGTAAAGATTAGTTCTGCTCGTATTTAAGAAAATAATTTGAAGTTACAGCTCTACGAACTTGAGTTTACTCATCTTATAAAAATTACATCTTTAAGTACTTTCGGTTAACAATAATAACTTAGCAGGGAATCCGACAAATTAAATCTTTACTTACTACTGCTTAATACTACTGCTTAATACGCCTTAATAAAAGGACACTTTTACCAAACTACCAACCGTTAATCATAGATGAATGTCATTCAATTGTTTTAGAAACAAATGAAATGTAATTTTCTATACACATCTTTCTAACAAGGACCCCTAGACAAAGAGATTTTCGATTAGCGATGTTGCTTGTAGAATCCACAAAATGTGACAAAATATGTAGGAATAAATACGTGACTTATCAAAAGTTATCAGTTCCATACATTTTAGACTTTTCGATTATTGAATGTTATTTTGTTTAAGGGGGCTGGTAGTTAGTCGCATACTCAATCCTGAAAATCTTTACCCGAACTGCTAGTTTTTACAAGGTCAATAAACTCAAATAACAAATAGTCTCGAAGGTCTATAAATTCCGTGCGCGAAGTAAAGATATAAGTGAGCTAAGTAAGGCCCTGACATCGTGCGGATGACATCATGGATTCCACAGCCTCGCCCACGCTTCGTCAGTATTGGCTATTGGTCAAGCAATATTCCAACTTTATTACGCTGAACTTACGGACTTAGCTATGGTTACTTATGTTAGTGTTTTCTTCAATGTTTGGCAGAACTATCGTAATGCATTGAATTTTACTGCTTTGGTTTTCGACCTTATATAATTGTGTAATTTCAAATTGGTCTTCAATTCTAAATTGTTTCAAACGACATAATTTAAAACCCTCAATGAGTTAGCAAAACTTACTACGGACTTATGACTGAGATGACATATGATAGAGTTATTTGGAGGACGAAAACCCGGTGCGCCGACCCTACGGGAGTAGGATAAGGCAGGGGAGATGATAAATAAGTTAGTAAAACTAAAATTACTCAGGGTTATTAGTTAAAATATGCCCGGTTTAAACCTTTTAATGTTTTGCGAAAGTACCACAAAATCAATATTCCAAGTCGAAGTCTCTGTGAAACTAGACTAAAATCCGGATATATTAATTCAGTACTGACAACATTAACACTTGTGGACGGCTTAATGCAAAACACATCCTACATTAAATTCCACCTACGATGCAAGAATTATAAAAAAAAATAACAAAAAACGTACTTAAAAATGCATGACAACCTACATGTTATTATGAAATATGTAAGAGACCTGGGCAATGACCTATAATTATTTATACTTTCTTAGTTTTTATCACTTACTGCATTTAAAATTATTTAAATATTCCCTTAGTGTAGATATCTACTAAATCTAGACTGTAGTTCTGCATTAGTGACCAATTGATTCTGGGACATAGCAAAAAAACCCTTGTTCTATTTCTTTGTCGCTTTGGACTCCGAAAGACAATAGAAAAGAATGTAAAGGATTTGAACCAATAAACTTTGCCAAGTCTTATTTTAAAGAAAATTCCAGCAAAAGTTACAAACCAATGTAAATCCAAGATATCAAACATGTTTAAAACCATGTAATTATTACGTACACAGGTTTACTGATAACTCCCCAACTCAATAACAATGAATAGGTCCCTACCCATCTGCTTAGTACTGTCAGTTAACGCGTGACGTCATAAGGCTATCGGCAAACTAGTCCAGTTTAGATAGGAAGGTGCTTCTAATTAAAATCGAACAGATTTATTCATTGATGCTACAGGATAAACGTTATAATGAGCGGTATCCTTTGTGGTTTGTCCTTCCGTCTTCCTTTGAAGTAGCCTTTTGTAGTAGCCGCATCACTCAATTCTTTGTACAAGATCTTATTTACATGTTACTTTTGTTTCATTAACTGTAACCAAGAGGATAACATAACTAAAAAGATATGAGGCTAAACATGCATCACGTTTAGTAATATTTCGTCAATGAAAGAGAGAACATTTAAAGTTATTAAGAAAGAAAGAGATAGATGAATTTATGGGTTCTACTTCTTTCTTTAATCATGATATCTTACTTCTTACTAATCTTATAAATGCGAAAGTTGAGATGGATGCATGTTAGTTAAGAGTTTGTAGCCTAAACTGATGAACGGATCTCGATGAAATTTGGCATAGCCGTAGTCGATAGTCTGGAAGGACCCATGGGCATACTTTTGTTTTATTAAAACCACGCGGAATCGCAGGCGAAAGCTAGTTTATTATACTTTTCTTACTAGACATTGATTCCCATACGTCATAGGCGTGCGGTGTTTGCATTTCCTCATAGATGCCAAGTTATTTTGGGACCTGGATACCAGCCAGTCTGGGCTAATGACCTAACGTTCCTACATCGATGTCTATTTAATAGGTCAACTTTTAGGTTGAGAAAGCTTTATATAAATTAAATCCCAGCTTAAATATTGAATAGTAATATTTAAAGGTAGCTAATAACTTAAAGTATTTCAAAGTTATGCGTCTGTTTTACATTAAATTATTTTTTATAGAATTATTCTTCTATTTATATCACATTTTCGTTTAAATATTCATTTATAGCATTATAGTATTTACTACTTTTGAAATTTACTGAAAAACTAGCTTTCTCATGCGACTACGTCCGCGTGGAATTAAAAAAAAAGGGTATTAATAGCCTATGTGTCCTTCCAGATTATCTTCTACATCTATGCCAAATTTCCTCGAAATCTGTTTAGTCTACAAACTCTAACAAACATCCATCCATACATTTATCCATCTATACTTTCACATTTATAATATTAGTAAGAATTAGTAAGATTCTGATTATTTCTACATTGAAAGTACATATAATTACGTACGTACGTATATGATTCATTATACAACGTGAGCCTCTATTGGTTTAATTTATTTGTGATCGAGACAAGTCGTTGTCAATAAAATTATAATTTTAGTCCATCACGCATCATTTGATTGACGCCTCATGAATATTCTGGCCTTTGGTGTGTCATACAATGAAAGAAGATGGTTGAAGGTTTATGTCTAAAGTGATAGGATATTTGTTTTGACGTTAGTACAAGTTTTTGTGTATTATGACAAAAAAATCAAATAAACTCAGAGTGACAGCGTTACTCTTATCTTACAAACTGCGCCACTCAGAGTCGAGGCTGTCCTTTAGTGTAACTATACTGAGAGGAATTTGCACTAAGCGACCTTATAACAAGACACGCAACAGTGTAAAACTTGTTCCTAATGACTTTAGGTGTGTTTTTAATATGTTTTTAACCAGTTTGATAAAACCCCCATAGATTTTAACCCCATTTAGTAGGGATAACGCAGTACCGCTTTCCAGATGTCGTAATTGCAACTAAACAGAGAAATCGCCACATCGCTAACTGCGCTAATCGATTACAACAGCTTTATTTGCATTTTGTGTTGATTATTATGCCCGTAGTTCACGCTTCATGTTTCGTTATTTTTGCTACAATGTTTAAAACCATTGTAGGTACTTGATTATTTCCCTGGTCTTATCCTGCTCACGTGGGGTAAGCGTAGAAGGTTTATTACACTAGCTAATGTCACATGCATCTCCGGGGAGTATGAGGGCATCTGTCCCCCCTCCCTAGACCTAACTTTTATTATCTGACAGCCTCTGTTCGACTATAAATAAAAAAAATTGTGTTCGATTTTTCTGTTTCATTTTAAAGTTATACGATTACATCATTAAATTGGCTTAATAGTTTGAAACATACTGTGTCAATCCGTCATCTCAAACAAATAATGGCTAATCTTATCATCAGTAAAATAATTTTATTTCTATTTCCAGATATCGGACATCGTAGTAGGCCAAGAAGCGAATGTGACCGCGCGCGAGGCTTTACTCAGCTGGGCCCGGCGCTCCACCGCGAAATACCCTGGCGTGCGCGTCACCGACTTCACGTCCTCATGGCGCGACGGCCTCGCGTTCAACGCGCTTATACACAGGAACCGCCCCGACCTTATAGACTGGCGTAATATCAGGTAAAAATACAACAGACCAATTTACAATTAGTTTTTTATATTATAAGGTGGTATACAAGTAAAGGAGAACTGAATACCCTGAAATGAAGAAACGACCGCTGCCCATAGACATCTGCAATTGCAGATTACCCTTAATCAACGAAAGAGGAGACGCACATAAACAGGATATTTCCCCTTCCTATGCGTCAATTCCACTTTTCCTTCCCATACTTTCCTCTTAATAAAAGGATGGAAAGGAAAAGGAGCTAAAATAAGGTTTCCGGCTTTATAAGTATTATTAGGCTATAGCCAAAGATCTCGTAACTTCCAGAATGTTATTAATTTAGAAAATATAGTATTGTCAGCACATTCTTTCAACAAGAAGATCCAGAGTAGCGTTTCTTATAGGCAAAGATCCTATAGTCCAGACTTAAGTCACCTTGTCAAAGCTGGAGTTATCATATTCCCCTTTTGGCAATATTATGAATTACCAATTCTAGAATAAAACATGAATGTAAAAAATGTCTAAATAAGCTTGAAATGTAAGGCAACGTTCATATTGAAAATTTTGAAGTATCCTTTTCAAATATCATATGTATGGATTCCAGGTCGAGGCAGGTCCGTGAGCGTTTAGAGACAGCCTTCCATGTTGTGGAGAAGGAGTATGGAGTCACCAGATTATTAGACCCTGAAGGTGAGATACTTACGTTATTCATTTACTTTACCTTTATGTATATTATTGTTACTAAGCTATCATTATGCCACTAAGATGTAACAATTCACCAGAGTAGATGTCACTGGATCTGTTAATATGCATCATACTTCAAACTAACGTAAGAGATCGCGTACGCCTTTGACTTAACTATAGCACAACTGTTTAGTCTCGCTTTGATTCTTATAGAACTTATATGGAGGTGCACACTCGATTTTTAGTTGTGCAACTAAACAGTTGACGCTGGGAAACAATCGACAATCGCACAGCTGTTCGACAGTTTAGTCAAAATTGTGCGCCAGCTCTTGGTCTATATCCAAACCGACGGTATTCTTATCTATACTATTATAATAAAGCGTAAACACACACTTCTTTGTTACCTAAGATCTCAGCAATTACAGCATATTTTTGAATAATTCTTTTTTTAATAAAAAGCCCTACACATACGTCACGCTTTAGGATATAAATTTCCACGCCATTAAACTTAGAGGGATGTTGGGGAGACCATAAGTTTCCACCAACATCAAGGAAGCAAGGTTGCTAACGTCATGTCATTTTGACATTTGCAATTGATAATTTGACACATGTAAACAATAAAATAAAATTTTCATAATTTCATGCGGATGAAGTCGCATGGAAACAGTTAGTATAACAATAACTTAAATAACTTCTCAACGCTGAACTTTAAGAAATAGTAATCGGTACATTTAAAAAGTTGTTTCCTGTACGCAGCCATAAGTTAGCTGCGAATGATTAAGCAAGGACTTCCAGTTGGCGCAGTGTTTCGCAAAAATTAGGTGTACATTCCTATACAGAAAAAGTAAATAAAAAAGACAAGTGTCCAATATATGAAAAATGGGAAATCTTTTCACCGTATTATTTACGACAAACTGTTGCTCGCGAATTAGTACGAATGAAATTTAAAATTAATAAAATAAAATAGCCTATGTTACTCACTGATAACCTAGCTTTTTAACGGTGTAAGAATTTTTGAAATCGGCCCAGTAGTTTTTAAATTATTTCAATACATAAAAAAATAAAAATCTTTCCTTTGGTACTATAAAATTAAATTGATACTCCAAACTTAATTATAAATCAAATTGTATACTAGAAAATCTAACCAAAGCCTATGATTTTGTATTCGATAGTATAGCTCCCCACCTGTTATTCGTCACGCATCGATTACAAGACATCAAGTCTTTGTTTTAACCGATTCGATGCGCCAACGAATTATCTCGTTTTATTGAGCGTATCGATTTTTTTAGATATAAACGATTGTGAGTGAAATTCGCTACACAGTAAATATGTAACATATCAAAGGAAACGATGCGAGAGTTGTTTATAAACAATGTCGTATTTATTTATATTGTTTTTATTTGTTATTTTATTGGTTATAAAAGATAATTTAATTAACGTCTATGATCTATGATTCTGTGCTCTTGAAACAGCATATGTAGTTTAGAGGAATTTTTTATAATATAAGATGGCCAACTCGCAA